TCGGGGCGGGAGCCGCTGGGATTGGGGCGGGACTAAGCGCCGAGGCTTCCGGTTCCGAGGACACAGCCTAGGTCCGGGGAGTTTTGCTTCCGAGGTCGAAGTGAGTGGCGCGTGCGAGCGACCCACGCTGCGGGCGGAGAGCGAGCCGGGGAGACGCGGGCAGAAGCAGAGAGGGGGCCTCCTTTGGTCCCCGGGGCTGCAGGAGGCGTGCGGTGGCGCTCCAGCCCCGCGGAGGGGCGCCGCGAGGGGCGGGACGGCGGAGAGGCTCGTCGTCGGGGCTGGAGCAGGGCACTGCAGAAAGGATGCCAGCGGGCGGGGAGCCGAGGGTGGCCTGGAGGGGCCGTGGAGGGGCCGCGGAGGGCCGGAGATGACACCGAGAACGGCCCGGGGAGCGCGGTGGGGAGGGAAAGGACCGCTGCGGCAAGGGAGCCGTGCTAGAGGGACCTAGCTGTGCGCGGCTCGTGTAGCTGGTCCCAGCAGTGAAGTAGGCATGTAGAGGGGCCGAAGGAGACTCTGGGGTGTTCAGGAGGAAGACTTGGAGGCGACAAAGAAAGCACCAAGAGTGAGCCCCTGTCGAGTGCTGGAGGAGCCGCAGGGTCTGGCGTAGTGAGGGAAGGCAGGCGCCTAGGCATTTGGGGTACTACTTCCTCCGTTTGACTAGAAATGTGGGTGCTCCTCCGAGGTGGGTACCCCTTCCGTACCTTGTTGTCCTTGCGTGGGGAATGGGTAGGTCGCAGAGGCCTGCCGCGGAGCTTGGTCCCAGGTCCTCCTCGAAGACGGTACAGGAAGGAGGCCCTCCCAGCCTTGGAGGTAGCAGTGTTGCCTGTAACTACAACCGAAATCCGCCAGTATTTGCGGGCGCATGGGATCCCCTTCCAGGATGGCCACAGCTGCCTGCAGGCACCCAGCCCCTTCACGGGGACCTCCCAGCTCAAGGACTACAGTCTGTTTATTGACAAGACCACAGGCCGCTTTCTCTGCACCACCAGCCTGGCGGAGGGGAGTTGGGAAGACTTTCAGGCCAGCGTGGAGGGGCGAGGAGATGAGTCCAGAGAGGGAGTCTTGCTTGGTGAGGCCCCAGAAGCTGGGGACAGTGAAGAGATCCAGAGGATCTGGGACCGGGCAGTACCTCTCTGGGAGCTGCCTGATGCAGAGGAGGCCCGGCTGGCTCGTCTGATGTTTGGCCTTACCAAGGTGACAGATGACACTCTCAGGCGTTTCAGCGTGCGGTATCTGCGGCCAGCGCGCAGCCTCGTCTTCCCTTGGTTCTTCCCAAGGGGCTTGGGACTACGAGGCCTGAAACTCCTAGGGGCTGAAGGCCAGGGGGATGCTGTGCGCTACGTGGAGACCACCATTCCCCGGCCTGGTGCCTACCACAACCTGTTCGGATTACCCCTCATCAGTCGTCGAGATGTCGAGGTAGTGCTGACGAGTCGTGAGCTGGACAGCCTGGCCGTGAGCCAGTCCACAGGGCAGCCCACCCTTGCCCTTCCCCGAGGAACAGCCTGCCTGCCCCCCACCTTACTCCCTTACCTCGAACAGTTCCGACGTATTGTGTTCTGGCTGGGGGACGACCTTCGGTCCTGGGAGGCTGCCAAGTTGTTTGCCCGGAAACTGAACCCCAAACGATGCTCCTTGGTGCGGCCTGGGGACCAGCAGCCCAGTCCCCTGGAGGCCCTGAATCAAGGCTTAAACCTCTCTCGTGTTCTTCGTACCGCCCTGCCTGCCTGGCACAAGTCTATCGTGTCTTTCCGGCAGCTTCGCGAGGAGGTGCTAGGAGAACTGTCCAACGTGGAGCAGGTAGCCGGCATCCACTGGAGTCGCTTCCCAGACCTCAATCGGCTCTTGAAAGGGCATCGTAAGGGCGAGCTGACAGTCTTCACAGGTAACCCTTTGGGGGAAAGGGACAGAGGACCCAGTGACAAAAGCATGTGGGTTTGGGCCGCTGAAAAGTAGGTTTCCTCTCCTGATTTTGAAGTCCTGACGTGTGTCCTGGTTTCAAGGATCGGCCTTTCTGCTCACCCGGGTCTGTCTCAACCCCCCTGCAGGGCCCACAGGCAGTGGAAAGACGACGTTCATCAGTGAGTATGCCCTGGATTTGTGTACCCAGGGGGTGAACACGCTCTGGGGTAGCTTCGAGATCAGCAATGTGAGACTGGCACGGGTCATGCTGACACAGTTCGCTGTGGGACGGCTGGAAGAGCAGCTGGACAAATACGACGAGTGGGCCGACCGCTTTGAGGACTTGCCCCTCTATTTCATGACTTTCCACGGGCAGCAGAGTATCAGGTGAGATTCCCCGGACCCAGGCAGTCCCGGCACCCGGGACCTTTTCTTCCGGCTCCAGTGGGAACTCTTTCTGAGTCTCTGTAGATAGGCTTGGGGTTTCAAATCCCCAAGGGCAGAGAACAGGCGGCCAACAGAGTTTTCAGGTTGCTAGCTTTGCTTCCTGGGATGGTCTGAAGACTGCTTGCCATTGTTTTAATTTGACAGAAGGCATGTGCACTCAGAGAGAGACAGAGAGAAAGCACTCTCCCGATAGTGTGGTCATACCGAAATCCCTTCTCCGTTTCTACCCCCTGTTGGGATGTAGGGCATGCATGCACATGTATCTGGCTTGAACCATATGATTGGCCATGTGGGTTCCAGCTCCCTTAACTGACAGGCCAGAAGGCCAGCCCTCCTTTATTCTTGATGGAGTGCGTGCACATGTGATAGAGCGAGGGAACACCCTCCACAGGGCCCGGTCATGCCCCCACGATCCCCTGTTGGACTGTGCTCGTGCCCTGCATGTTTCAGAGCACCTGGTCCAAGGATCTGAACTGCAGTCACTGCGTGGGATCCACACCACATGGGATCCAGCTTCTCTGGAGTAGTGTATTACCACTGCACCATGGAGTTGGCTCAAAATTAGTTGACTTGTGAATTCATTGCCTCTTTCCTCTTCTCAGGACTGTAATAGACACAATGCAGCATGCAGTCTACGTCTACGACATTTCTCATGTGGTCATCGACAACCTGCAGTTCATGATGGGTCACGAGCAGCTGTCCACAGACAGGTGGCATCCTCCTCTTGTGTAGCTTGAACCCCCCCCACACACACACACATGCTCTGTTGGGCAGCTGGCTGCTAGACACACACACCAGACTCTTATTTTCTGAGTCGTGTGTAGGCATATACCACCATGTGTATTGTGTCAAGGCGTGGGGATAGCAGCCAGACATGAACAAGGACGTGCATGTGAGACACCTGGGGAAGAGGGAGGTAGAGTGGTTTGTACGGGTGTGTAAGTGAATTGGGAGTATGTGTACATTCTTGTCCTTCTGTCTGTCTCCAGTAACTGCTTTGCGTTCTTGGGTTGGGGGCAGGATCGCAGCTCAAGATTACATCATCGGGGCCTTTCGGAAGTTTGCTACAGATAATAGCTGCCATGTGACACTGGTCATTCATCCCCGGAAGGAGGATGATGACAAGGAACTGCAGACGGCATCCATTTTTGGCTCAGCCAAAGTAAGTGGCCTTTAGAGGAGCTCTAGCTCTGGAGAGCAGGGAGGGCAGGGCACGGTGACCAGGGACAGCCCTCGTCCAGCCTTAAATGATTGTACCTGTCCATCTGGAAGAGGTAGGCGGAGCTTCTGGGGGCTGTGGCATAGGGCTATGTGTGCCAGGAATTCAAGGATGAGGATGTGGGGTCTTCCCTCTCCTTGCCGCTGAGAAGCGCATGTCCTCTGGAGCAGGAAACAGTGAGACAGTGGTTACAGGTCGGTGTGGTGAGATCTACGAAAGGCAGCCCAGGTATTTGGGGAGCAAAGCATCTGAGTCATCTGGAAACATTGGGGAGACTTCCCAGAGGTGTCAACAGCAGTTGGGCTGAGATGTGGTAAACAGTAGGTGTTAGAATAGTCGGATAAATGGGAGGCCATTGGACAGCAGGCCAGCCCCGTTCCAGAGCTGCCAGTGGTACACCGAGGGCCTGTTATTTGCTGGGCCTGGGCTGGGCAGAGGCACAAACTGTGCCACAGCGGCACTCATGGGGCCGGGCTGGGAGGGATGATGCCGAGTGAGGAAGTGCTGGTGCTGGCTTTGTTGAAGGGGACCAAGAACGCGGATCAAGTGTCACGTTTGGACTGAGACTTTCTTGTCCGAATGATGAGAATCCGGGGCGGAGGGGGTGGCCAGCTGTGGAGAGGAGCGTTACACACAGCAGGAAGAGTGAGGACAGGCTTGTCGGGGACCTGGGAGGCGTGAGTGGCCCAGCATTATGGTCAGTAGTTCAAAGAGCTCTGGCGATCGGGACGGAAGAACTTTTCTCTTTCCCATTCCTGCCACTCCATCCATACCTTCAGCTACCTTCTCTGCTCTGCTTCCTCGTCTTCTTACTCCTGCCTTCCCTCTCTGTCCCGTGCCCCAGGCAAGCCAGGAGGCCGACAACGTGCTGATCCTGCAGGACAGGAAGCTGGTGACTGGGCCAGGGAAACGGTATCTGCAGGTCGCCAAGAACCGCTTCGATGGAGATGTCGGCGTCTTTCCCCTTGAGTTCAATAAGAGCTCCCTCACCTTCTCCATCCCACCGAAGAGCAAGGCCCGGCTCAAGAAGATCAAAGATGACAACGGGCTAGTAGCCAAAAAGCCCTCTTCTGGCAAAAAGGGGGCTGCGTCCCGGAACTCTGAGACTTGTTCAGGCCAACCTCCCAACCCCTGCCAACCAGGGACTGCCAAGACTTCAAAGTGAAGGCAGTGCAGAGCTGCTCACTGAGGTGTCCAATGGGCAGGCTGGGGCACAGGCCCTTCCTGGCTCTCTGGGAGGGCTCCGCTGTCCTGTGGTCCTGTGCAGTCCTGTATCTACAGCACTGAAGAGAGGTGGTCTCTCCTTCCATGCTGCCTGCGTTCTGGCGGGAGAGGCAGGAGCAGCGAACAAGTCAATTCACAATGGTGGTAGACAGTGAACAGTGCCAGGCACGGCGCACACCTGTCGTCCCAGCTGCTAAAGCAGAGGCAGGAGGATTACAAGGTCAAAGCCAACCTGGACAATATAGGGAGACCCTGTCTCAAAGAAACACGGTCTGCTGAGATAGTGAAAATGCTGTAAAGAAAATAGTAATGAGGGACTAGCAGGTGGTGTGGTAGCTAAGTTGCTGAGTTCCCACATGGCTGACAGCAGTTCGAGTCCTGGGCCTGGTAGCTAGAAAATCACAGCAGGTGTGTGTGCGTTCGTGCCCAAAATCCCAGGAGGAGGATTGTGTCATGGTGTGACTTCTCTCTTTATCTCTCCTTCTCTCTGGCAAGCACACACTATAGCAAAAACCTTAAAAAAAAAAAGTAATGTGAAAGTGTGATTGCAGGCTAGTTTAGGCTAAGTTTCTAAAAAGTATCTGTGAGTAGAAAGCGTGTGAGCAGGAGCCTGGAGAACTGTGAAGAATGAGCCCTGCGGATATGCAGGGCAAAGGGGATCCGGGCAGAGCAAAGTAAGTAGAGCCCTGAGGTGGAAGGAGCGCGTTGGGTTCAAGGAGTGAGGTCAGGCCTGCGGGGTGGGGGAGACAGTGCTGCGACTCCAGTGCAGTGTTCCGAAGCTGAAAGGTGACGGGGAGTCCCAGGCCTTATGCTCCCACTGTGGAGAGCTCGGCATGAGGTGGCACTTGCTAGAATCGATGCCGAGTCAGTAATAGCAGGGTCCCAAAGGTGGACGTGACCTCCACTGGGATGCCTGGCCATGGATCCGTGAAAGGGTGCCATGAGCCCAGAGCGCCTACCCCTGGATGCTGATTCCAGACCGCGTCCTCAGCCCTCGAGTTAGGACGTTTTGTAGAGCCTTTCCAGATTTACTGGGGAAAAAAAATTATTTTTTCCATTGCCTTTGTTTGTCTGCTTTTTCTTAGTTGTCCACCAGGTGTCTCCCCAGTCTGTAACTAGACTTGCCTCTGAGTTGCCGCGGGTGGGTAGGGCCCCTTCCTTACTGCCAGCCTTTGGGCTGTGGGTTCCCAAGGAGGCAGGGGCTTTAAAGGAACATCACACCCCACCATCCCCTCGTACCTCTCCTCGGCCCAGGGAAGACAGGGTGGTGTGTCCTGACCCCTAACTCCCGAGGCTCTTCATGGGATGCCTGGCAGAAGTATGGGTCACTGAGCCACTCACCTCTGTCCGCGTGGCCGCAGATCAGCATATTCTTACCTCGACCCCACCACCACCCATTTCCCTCCTGTACACTTTCCTTGCTCTTAATATGTACCAGAAGTCCTGGGGGTTGGTAAATACAGAACCTGGGCGCCACTCTTCCCTCGCCCTCCTGCCCTTCACAAACACATTTCTGGGGAACCAGCAGTTAGCGTAATGGCTATGTCACTGGACTCCCACGTAGTCGACCGCGATTCGCGTCCCGGACTCAGTGGCTTAAAACTCACGCTGGGTGCATGTGCGTGCGTGCCCAAGATCCCGAGAGGAGAATGGAGGAGAAGGGATTGCGGCGTGACCATCCCCCCTGGGGGGTCATTTCTCGCTTTCTGTCTCTCTGACTCACTCTGTCTGGGGAGCACACGCACCCTATAGCAAAAACCTCTCCAAACAAAAAAAACATTTCTGATGCTAGGGGTCTAAGAAGTGTGTGGAACTCCTGCTTTTCCCACAGTCGATGCGCTGACTTCCTTCAGGGGAGGTAGAAGAGAATTGCCCTCAGCAGGGTCGTCCTGCCACACGCGGCCCCCTGCGGCCCTCTAGTCAGGGTTCCGGGTGTGTTGTGTGCGCTCCAGTGGACCCAGGATCTGAGCCTGGGCCTCCCACGTGGCATCTGGCATTGCGATGCGGTGCCCTCCCGCCTGTTCTACTGCCAATGGTCCTGGAAAACTTTTTTATTACTTTTTTGTTATTTTTTTCCCCTAGGGTGCATGTGCTCACTGGAGACAGAAACAGTGAGAGGGAAAGTGAGAAATCACCCCCCAGGGGGATGGCCACACCACAGTCCCTTCACTCTCCCCCCCAGGATCTTGGGCATGCACATACACGTGAGTTTGTGGCCACCAGGTCCAGGACTCAAACCGTAGCTGCCCATGTGGAAGTCCAGCAATGTAACTGCTGGTCCTTGGAAATCCTTATTTTTTTTTTTTTTTATTCATAATAGAGCACATATGTGTTTGTGAAAAAAGATGAGCACCCTCCACAGGGTCTGGTCACACTACGATCCCTCCATCCAGTTTTCCAGCCCATTGGATCTTGGGCGTTTATGCACATGCCAGGTGTGTCTCAGGCTAAGATGCCATGTGGTCGGAACTTCCCCTGAGCAGTGTGGTACTGCTGGACCTCGGAGCTAATTCAGCAATCTTTTTTTTTTTTTAAAGAATGATTATTTAATTTCATCTGTTATCATAATTATTACTTAATTTGCCACAGGGCATGCACACGAGAGGGAGAGAGGAAACTTGAGAAAGCAAACCTCCAGATCTGAGACTCAAACCACAGTCAGCCACTGCTCTAGCACTCCAACCACCCACCACCCACTGGCCCCAGTAATATCTTTTTTTTTTTTAAGAATTATTTAATTTGGGGGACCAGCAGTTAGCGTAATGGCTATGTCGCTGGACTCCCACATAGTCGACCGCGGTTCAAGTCCCGGACCCAGTGGCTTAAACTCACGCTGGGCGCGTGTGCATGCGTGCCCAAGATCCCAAGAGGAGAATGGAGAAGAAGGGATTGCGGTGTGGCCATCCCCCCTGGGGGGTGATTTCCTGCTTTCTGTCTGTCTGTCTCTGTCTGGCAAGTGCACGCGCCCTATAGCAAAAAATAATAATAATTTGGGAACTAGCAGTTAGCATAATGCTTATATCACTGGTCTTCCATGTGGTCAACTGCAGTTCAAGTCCCAGATCTGGCAGCTTAAAAGACTCATGCTGGGCTCATGTGTATGTGTGCCCAAAATCCCAAGAGGAGAATGGAGGAGAAGGGATTGAGGCATGGCCATTCCCCCAGGGGGGTGATTTCTTGCTTTCTGTCTCTGTCATTCTGTCCAGTGAGCGCATGTATCCTATGGCAAAAAATCTCTCTTGAAAAAAAATCATTTAACTTTATCATTATTTTTTCAATTTGCTACAGGGATACACACTCACCAGAGAGACAGAGGAAGACATCAGGTCTGGACTCAAACAGCAGTCGGCCATGTGGGAGTCCTGCGCTTCAGCTACCATGCCACCTGCTGACATTGTCATCCTTTTTTAAAAAAATGTTTTCAATTATTTTTATTTATTTATTTTTTAATTTGACTAGAGAGGGACAAAGTGAGAGAGAGTGAGAAAATAAGGAAGCAACTCATACCGCAGTCGGCCATGTGGGAGTCCAGCACCCTTAACCACCACACCACCTGCCAGCCCCCATAATCCTCATTTTTAATAAGCCCTGTTAGAGATTGTAAACTAGGTGACCCAGAGACCCTGCCGGAATATTCCCAAATGATTCCATTTTCTCAACACATTTCCTCTGGTCCCCTAAAGTCTCTGTTTCCCCTTGGGTTTGCCTGAAAGAGTAGAAAGAATCCAAGATGTTCCGAGGAGGAGCCTTCTGCAAGGGTGGCAGGAGTGGGGGAAGGAAGCGAGGCTGCCTTGAGAGGATCTTCCTGTCCACCCATGTGGGAAGGCATGCAGTCTGGCCTGCAGTGTGAGAACTGTGGCCACCAGTGTCTCCCGAAACAGACCTCCGAACAAAACCGCTTCAAAGCTGTTCTTGCGGGGAAGAACCTGGGGTGGGGGTGGCTCCTTCAGGGCCTCCCTTCTTGGGGGTCTCTCCCAGACTGGCTGGAGCCAGGCCGCCCTAATCCCACAGTAATCATTCCCAGACACTGGCTGGTCTAGGCCTCAGCCAGGATCTGTAACAGGGAATGTCAGCCATGCCTTCCAGATGCATGGTGCCAGGTCAGCCCTACCTAGGATGAGGGCCCACGTCCTCTCCCTAGTGCGGGTGGGTGGTTCTCAGGAGCTCCTTTAGGGGTTCGCACAGTGGACTTTATGAGGTCTCTGTGAGCACTGGGCAGAGAAGGGACAGATTTGTTTGTCTTGCCCCGCCCTTCTAGCAGACATTCCCACATAGCACAGACGCATGACAAGGACAAACACATTCCACTCCACACCTGCTTTGCACTTCCCACGTCAAGGTCTAGCCTCCAGTATGTTCAAAAGGCCCTGGTGCCTAGAAGGCAGCGGGGGACTCCTAGGCCCTCTGTAAGGTCCCTGGGTGCCACTGCCCATGTACCCAGCTGAAGTGGCTTGAAGCTTACCTGGAATCCACCCATATGTAGGTCAAACTGGATGTTAAGAACAGCCTGAGAGCTCAGGAGGGGCCCAGTCAACCAGGGTCCAGTTGGATCTGACACCCTGTCCTCAGATACTGTCTGTCACAGGGCTGTAAGGGGGCAGCTCTGTCAGCCAAACCCCTCCTCTCTACTGTGGGTTTGTGCTTAGAACTGAACTCTCCGGGTGTGCCCTGCAGCCCAGGTGCTCGGGCTGCAAATATGGCTGATACCTGTAGCCCCGTGCATTCCCAAAGGCTTCCTTGAGTGCACTGGGGGGAGGAAGCCCTTGCCGCCTCCCAATACAGGCCAGCTTCCTGTTTGTGCCTGTGGGTGGGACGTTATGAGTCTTAAGGGGAGCCCAGCTCGGCTCTGTGGGGGGCCAAGCCTGCTCAGCTGGGCAGACACCTACTCCCGGGAAGGGGGCGGTGCCAGTTCTGCTTGGGCAGCCCCCAGAGGTGTGCGGATGGTGCTGGTATTGCTGGTGGTGGGTGGGAGCTGTTTTGGTGATACCCGAGCCGTCTTTGTTGCTTCCCAGGGGTTTTCCCAGTGTTTGGAGGGCCGCAGGCGGACTCGGACGGGTTCTCTCCTGAGCAGAAGAGGGTGACAGAGTCAGGCCCTGTAGCTAGTTTAGTTAGGCAGCCAGGTAGCTTAGATCTCGGTCACGTGCTGCTCACCCCTTCTCCAGGTCCGAAGCTAAGTCCAGTAAGCTCTGAAGTCAGCAGAAGCAGCCTCGGGCCACGGTCGAGCTCCATTTGGGGTGGGTACTGGGTCGGCTGTAGAGGGGTGCGGGGCAGACCACTCCCCTGCCTGGGTGGGGGGCGCGGCCTCAGGCGCCCCGCCCCGCTCTGCTCCAGCAGGTCCGGCAGGCTGACGCCCG